CGCCATCACCTGAACCAAATGCTGCTAGTTGTGTGCGGGCATGTCGGCGCCGTCATGAGCAGCGCTCGCCTCCAGTGGTCTGTGTGTGGATCGCCTTCGCCGGTGGTGGTTGTGTGAGGTCTGTGACGGAGGCGAGAGATTTGGGGGCGTGGGAGAGAATTAAGTTAGGGATGTGTGGTAGATGAATTTAGTTTAGGTTAGGGATATTAATTATATAAAAATATTAATTAAAATAAAACATCTGATTTTGGAAATGTGAAACTTCCAATCTGGTTTTGGAAATGTTGGTACATAAATTAGTGATTTGTGTAATTTCCACTTTTAGGCCCATAGATAGCTACTTTGAAATAGCCTATTTTTGGGGTTAATCAAGGTGGACAGGCCCATTTGTCATCGACCGGTCTGATAATTTCCAATCGGATCTCTGAATCTCACAATTTAATTCTCTAGGGTTAAAAAAGAACCAAATTTTGAACAAAAAGGCCAAAAATGGCGACCAATTGTGCTAGAAAACTCGTTCAACGATCCACAGCTTCTGCCAAAACCTTATTGAATCGCATCCAATCATCGCCTTCCATTTCCACGGCACTACCAAAGCTCAATGGACAAGCATCCACCACCTCGGCCTCTCGAGTCTCCCCTCGCCACCGCTCCTTCTTCTCCTCCAGGTTCGCATATACATGTTCATTTTTATGTTGTTTGCTAATTATAATTGATAGTAAGATTAAGATGTGGTTTATGAATATTCAGGCTACCGGTGGAGCTGAGTTGTTGTGAGTCATTGATGCCACTGCACTCGGTGACTGCCTCTGTATTGCTAAAATCAATGCTATCTTCAAAGGTTGGCCAATGGGGCTGTCTTTCTGAAGGTATGCATTGGAGCACGATTTCTACATTACTTATTAGTTACTGAATTTGTCACCATTGAAATGCTCACGAATATTTATAGAAATGTAAGAGTGCTGCAGTACTTGTTTGATGCTCAATTTGTTGACTCATTTACCCTTATTTGGATATTTTAAATATTTGTTGATAAAGTTCAAACTGTTTTATTTCTTATTATTATAAAAACGGTATATGATTCGCCTTGTTTCATCTAACAGCTTAAGAGTTGCAGGGATTGTGACATTGTGTGTTGTGGGTTTTTATTTTGGAACTTGAGAGTTTGTTTATTATGATGTATGACTATGCATCTATTTGAGTTAACGTAATCACTTAATGACTAAATAACAACTCTGAGAGTGGAAACATAAGGTAATATTGACAAGGATTTTTTATGTAAGAGTAAACTTAAATGTCTTTAACTGTGAAGAAAAAAGGGGTAAAAGATGATATGACTGTTTACAACATAATAAAACTTTCAAGCATCGATGCCTAATCTGGATGTTAGTAGCTCCACTTTTACGGGGTCTAATCTATTGAAGAAAGAAGATATTGTTTTTATCAGAATTTGCATCACAGTGGAGTAGCAGAGAATTCTGCATTCATATGAATACTGGGGAAATTAGGCAGATTCCTGTGGTATTAGTTTTGCGAGGGGGCGGGGGGTATATGTTGTCAAGATATTGAAAACAATAGAGGTCATTGTCTACTAGGTATTTCTAGAATTTGGTTTGTACTACATGGCTACTGGTCGTCTTAATAGGATGTTACAATTGTGCATGAGTTTGTGTTACAATTGGTCATCTTAAAAAAAAATTGTAGCAGGTTCTAAATGCATAATAAGATATTACTCTGCATTTTGAGGACCGAACAAACTATATTAGAGGAATGAAATATCCCATGATATCATGTCTGCTCAAATCCAATGAATTATTTTATGTGCATTTGGGGAGGGAGCTGATTTAATTATGCATATTCTACGGTATTAATAAAATTTTTTTAGATGTGTGTGGGTGGGTGGGTGGGTAGGGGGGGGGGGTTTAACCGCTAGATTACGCGTGCTTGCCAACATTTTTTAAGCCATCTTTACTACACATTTTTCCCATTCATTTGCCATGAAGCTACCATGCTACAGAAGTATTTCTTGATTTGGAAAGCTGGATGTTGCTTTCGAGGTTATGAATGAAATATTTATTTTGCTCTGTGACAGGTTTTGCTACACCTCTATAACATTACCTTTAAGCTCTTGGGCATACCAGATGATGAGAAGACCACCTCGGATAATTCCATCCTTGTTCTTTCTTTGACGAGAATTACTTGTAATGTCAAATGATTATACTTGTGAAATGTGACTGCGTGATTTATTCAGGCTGCTTAATTTTTGAAACGTTACACTGAGATTAACTTTGAAGGTGGTTGAATTTCCTGATTATCTATGCTGCTAATGTACTCACTTGCCTCTGAGCTATATTCAAATTGGTTGAGTTCATAGACCATTCAATCTTCACTTCTTTTAGCTTAACTGCATGATATATAACCATTGAAAATGCACAGAAGTAAAAGGTTTCTTGATTTCTGTTTCCTAGTCTACTGCATTTGAAGGTTGCTTTTTACTATAGAGGAAGACGGTTGCAATGCCGATAAGATTGAGTTCCGAGAAAAAGCTTTTATTTGTTGGGCTCGTACGTGAATGTTTGCCTAACCTGCAGAAATTTACTTATAAGTTAGTTAAGTCTTGATATTAAGTTTGTGTTGGTCAAATTTAAAATAAGTAAGTTACTTACTTTGATCCTTAAGGCGCTTTGAGGCGTAAGCCTCTCCGTGAACCAAAAAAATATATATATAAAAATAACATCTTTCTAGGAATTGCCAATAGAAAATTACTATATTCCAAATTCCATCTCAAGTCTCTCTTATTTTTTCTAATAATGATTAAAATTAAATTAAAGGTTTGTTATAGCCAAATCTACACATATTTTCTCAAGTCTCTCATTGCACATTTTCAATTTCCGAATAAAAGCTCTAAATCCGTATGAGAGAAAATACAAAAAATGGGGAGCATCGATGTGGAGGTTCGAAAAGCTACAAAGAGAGGATTTTGAGTAGGGATGGCAATTCGAACTATTAAAATCGAAAACCGCGGTTAACCGAACCGAATTGGGCGAAAAAAATTTAATCGATGGTGCAATGGGGCGGTTATGGTTTTGATTTTAATTAACCGCTTCATTTAGGGACGGGTATGGTATTTAGCGATGGTGCATCGCCTCGAACCGATTACCCGTTAAAAAAATTCATTGGGCAATTGGACTTTTCATTATTCTTTCCCAAAATTAATTGGGCAATTTTGCCAATCGCGCTTCCCTAAAGTTTTGGCCCAATTAACATTACTGGTAAACCCTTAACGCAATAACCTAACTCTAACC